CGTTTAAACTATGATTACCTCCCATTAATTGGTGGACCACATGTTGATTTCCTTAGTAAATAATTAGTGCAGTCGCCACGAGTGGCAATGAGAGAGGATCATGATGGACTGGATGAGACGGCTACGATCTCTATCACTACTTCTAAATGATGAGAAAGTTAATCGAAGCGTGACTGCATTCGTGAAGAACGGATTCATCGCTGAGGATATATTCTGGAGCTTTGATCACAGTAACTGATATCCAGGAGCAGTCTGAGGGGATCATCGGCTGATCAGAATTCAGGATATCTCCGTTCAGTGTTGTTGGACGCCCTACTGCTCATGAGAGGACGAACAACATTCAGCTATGTTTCTGCTCCAGTGTTTGAAGACCAAATCGGGAAAACTGTGAACCAACAGGAACGTGTAGACTTCGAATCACTGTAAAGTTAGGACCACTTGCTCCCGTTTTTCAGTCGGTTTTATTGAAATGCTAAAACATCGGTTGAAATTATTTGAAATTATGAAATTATGCTTATTCTATAGAGTAGACGCGTAAACTTTCGGTACTGAAAGTTCAATGATGAATTTCTAGTTCAAGCTAATTTTTGTCAACCCAGTTAATTTGATTTTTTTTTATTTACGTTTCACCCCTCCATTATAATGAATCATTTAAATAAACGAACGCTGTATAATTTATTGATCGAATCGGTTGGTCATTTTCAAACGTAGGCGCTCAGCCCGTGCTCGCATCTTATGCAGAATGAAGAGAATTCCCATTTGAGACATGCGAAGATCAGCTGTTTTTATCTGCGTCGTGTTAGAACTCGACAGAAAACATTTTGGAGGCCATTCGATTTATTGAAGATGCATCATCTGCGCGTTTCTTGTGCAAACGACTTCGCTTGCCCACTTTGTTCTCGTTTAATCGTCTTCCTTCCTAAATGTCGGCTTTTTTCCACGAAGCCTTTTTTCATGTCACTTTTTGCCCATTTTTGCATCATTTTAAGTTTTTATTCTTTGAAGATTAAAGAACAACTGAAAGTTTACGGTGACAGGATAGAATAAATATTAATATAGGATTAAAGCGGATTGTAGTCCCCTTATTGTAAGAGATTATAATGGGACAGAAGAATCATTTATCAGCAGGTCTGTCAGAAGTGGCAGAATTTAGCCTTGAAAACTAGAAAGACAGGCTGCTATTTATTACATAGATTGCTGCCCAAATTAAATATCAGTTACTAGTAATATCCCAATATGGAAGGATAGAAGGTTATTACTTGCTACGTCGCTTACGTCTCTAATTTTGTTCCTTCCCACAGTGATAAGCATATTTAGCGAAACTGTAAAGCTCGTCGCCATTTCTCAAAACACTGCGGATATCAGTAACCAAAAACCAATCACTTTCTGCCTACACAAACAGTGCAATATAATGGTAATATATTAACAGGCGGAAGGATTATGGGCCGTTGTCTGTATGAATCTCTAAAGGGAGAAAGATGTGCCAAAAAGAAAGCAACTGACGATCTTCGGCGGTAGCTTTTACACGCAAGCAGATATCTGCATGCTTCTGGGGAGTGTTGGGTCTGGCAATAAGAACCTGCATCCTTTCGAGGATGTAGTCTATTCTTACTCGATACTACGTACGAATGGAGTCTTAACATGGTACGTTCACAGCTTGTAATGGCGAGAAAAATTAACGTTTAATATATCACTGACGGACATCCTGGTGCATATATGTCTTGCCACATTGCACATTTCACAGCATTCTCAATGGTCATAGCTTTTTCATAGCTGGTGCACTCCTTTTTAATTTCTTGACCCTTCTGTAGCAGCCACAGCACTGCGAAGAATACTTGTAAGGCAGAGGGAAGTATTGATTAGAGATCTGCCATCTGCTCACGCAGCATACCTACGGGATTATGTTATACGGCATTTATGATTTGATGGCAACCGTGCTACTCAAACTGCGATTCGTCTTCGATCCAAAGATTAGATAATGCGATGAAGTGCATTCGGTATTTTTCAGTCTGACTATAAGTACGGAGAGCACCAGATTCTGGTGCGCTTCAGGCTTCTTTCCAGTATGTCCACGAAGCAGATATTCAAGCGATACGGCAGGTGTGCTGTCCACGCTTAATTGCTGGTGATCGATGGGCACTTCCTTGAGGTCGTCCTCTTTCGAAGCAGTCGACTCCTTGTCGCTTGCTTGAATTTGACGATTGTTAAACAAGCAACACAAGGATTGTACTGTGTTCGTAAAGATCACACCAGAGAAGGAAAAAGCAAGTGGTGCTGTAAAATGGTTAGATATTTTAACGGTTCAGCACAGTCGGTCACTAGTGATGACAAAAAACTTTTGCCTGACATTATCGACTATGATTTAATCCTTAGCCTTGCAAACCTTAGCACATGCTTATTTGATCGATCACATTCGCTGAGTAAGATGGCTCAAATTCGCTTCCACTGACTGTATTTGTCAACATTAAGAAGTAGTTCTTCTTTTCATCAGTTTGATGGATCGTTGGTCTTCATCACAGAGCACGTAAAAAGCATTAAAAACGATCCGTAGTATGTGGTCGATTCTCTCAGGTTTCTGTTTTACTTGGTGAGAATTTTTTTAGTTATGCTGAATTAGAAAGTGATCGCAGCGGGACAGCAACAGCAACCCATTCGCCGTATTCATTTCCCCGTTTTTAAACGTATGGCAGGTAAGATAGCCATGCTGCGCTTTCAGCGACTTCCTTACGGTTGTGGTCTGAAGATGAAAACCTTGAATTTCATCATTGATTCTCGGCTTTTGTGTCCCATTGTTGTTTTATAGCAGGAAATGAACCAGACATTGTTTGAGATCGACTTACCGCTTATTCACTAGCATATTCACTCACTTATTTGATTACTGAGTTTTACCTCATGTTGTTCACTGTTTGGAGCAACAACTATGGATAGAATAGCTAAAGATATTAAAAGGAGTAAGCT